TATATATATATATATATATATATATATTGTTGAATCTAGATTTGTCCTCTAAACACGACTCAAGAGATAGAGCATAAAGAAGGACAAAAGGGAGAAATATAGTAGACGGTAAGATGAACAGTTTCGAAGAGAAAGATCTATCCTTCCATTCATAAAATGGTCCCTATTTATAATCATAGGAAACTTTTGTTAAAGTTACATTTTTACTCTCCTTTAATTAGTTGTTACAAGTTATAATTTACCTTTATTTAAGTTGGGAAGTTATAGACCAATTTTTTTCCTTTTACGCATTTTTTCGTAGTCATAACTGATACTATCATCTTTCTGAATTTAGAATTGGTTTTATGATATTTTCTTGCACTTATAACTGTCGTGAAGATCTTTTCATATCTGCTACTGCTGACCAGTATAAGCCTTCTTGTCAACTTACTTTTGGACTAGTTGACCTTGATTGACTTGGGTAGACTTAATCCTCAGAGTTACTGATGAACTTTATCTTTAGAAACCTGGCCGTCTTCCGAGCTATAAATCTGGCCGCCTTCTGGCCTATAGTCGGTCGACTTTAAATTGACTGATATAATTGTCTTTAGTCCAGACATTTGATAACTGGGCAGAGTTTGAACCAATTAGCTTTCCATTGGTCGGCTAACGGATTGTCTCCATATCAGTTTTTTTTAGTCTACTTTCATTGGATTTCTCCTCTTCAATTATGGACCGTGTGATTGCCTTGTGATGCGTGCTGACAACTTTCCTGCCAATATTTGGGCCTCTGGCAAATATCAATTTCCTTTATATATATATATATATATATATATATATATATATATATACACACACTCTATTCCATCTGAGGTAGAGGAACATTACCATCTATTGCAAGAATTCTTGTGGAGAGGGACATTACATTCCTTGAGGTAGAGGAAATCTGGATTGGATCCAGAAATGAGGATCCAGAAATGAAGGGCATTGGCAAAAAATAGTTATGGAACAAAAACCATACTACTGCCCCCATTGTAGGATGTTTGGGCATACAATTGACAGATGCTATAGGCTACACCCTACCAATAAGAAAAAAAGCTATTAACAATACTTTAAATGACACTGCTTCCACAAATGTCCCTATTGCTATTACTCGTCCTGCTCAGATGGGACCACAACTTCAATTAAATCCAATTATTGAAGCATCATCCAGTAAGCAGCAACTTCTTATAGAACCACTCAAGTCTACCGCAACTCCACCTACTGTAAGAACTGAAAAAGGAGAATGCAACATTATTGTTCCTCTCCCACCAAGTATATTTCCTTAAAAACATATGGTTGTAACTTCAGCCACCCCAAAGGAAACTTTAGTTCCACCTGAAGATCTAATGGTGGAAATGAATGAAGAATTGGAAAGAGATTGGCAAGTTTAGAAAGAAAAAAAGAAAAAGAAACATACAGTGGAAGCAAAGAAGGTTTTGGCAGAAGATACCAAGGAGGAATGCTCCCAGCCTCCTCTTAAACAGTCATCTATCCAGCTTAATAGGGGAAGGACTAGATCAAGGTCTCAGCCTTCTGTTCACCCATCCTCTTCATCATGATCAATTTTCTTTATTGGAATGTAAGGGGTATTGCTCACCCTTCTTCCTTGAAAAGAATTTGTTATCTTAATAAAAAACACAAACTTTGGTGTATTGCTATTTTAGAACCTCTATTTCATAAACATTCTCAACAGATCCTTTCTAAATTTATTGGATTCTCTCACTTTGCTAATCACAATAACAAGATCTGAATTCTTTGTAGACAAAAGATCAGTTGGCAAGTTCTGTTGACCATTCTCAATTTGTACATTTCTCGTTCAACATTGGTGGGCATGCTGGATTTGCCACTTTTGTGCATGCTGGTTGCTCCAAAAATGACAGGAGAGATCTTTGGGCTTCCCTACATGATCTTAGTCAAAATATGGATTCCTGTTGGCTTGTTGGTGGTGATTTTAACTGCATCACTCATTTTGCAGAGAAGACTGGTGGCAGATCTCCAAATCTTGCTAAGATGAACTTATTTTCTGATAATATATTAAAAGCTGGCCTTTTTGACATTGGTTATAAGGGGGTCAGAGTTCACTTGGAAGAGGGGTGTTATATGGGAAAGGCTTGACAGGATTCTGGTTAATAATTATTGGTGTCAGCATTTTTTGCACACTGCAGTTACTCATCTTAGTCTTGCAGGATCTGATCATAGACCCCTTCTTATATCTATTACTGCCTCTGAATCTTCCGGATCTCCCTCTCCATTCAAATATCTCAATATGTGGTCTGATCGTCTTTCTTTTTTCAACACTGTGGCAGGTGCTTGGCACTCTAATCTGAATCTGGATCCTTAGGCTAAGCTGGTTTTTCAGCATGTAAAGGTTAGTAAAGTACTGAAAGCATGGGGCTGGAAGTCCTTTGGGGATGTTTTTAAAGCTGTGGAAACTGCTAAAAAAGAAGTGATTGAGCCGGAGAACTTAGCTCTGAGAGATGGTGGAGAGGATAATACCTTATTGGCTGCCCAAGAAAAGCTTCTTCTTGCCCTAGATAGATAAGAGAACTTCCTGAGGCAAAAAGCTTCTATTAGCCACTTCAAAGATGGGGATAGGAACACTAAGTTTTACCATGCTTACATCAAATATAGGAGACAATGCAATACAATTCATAAGATCTAGAACTCTAATAGAAATTGGATTTCTGATAATTCTTCCATTGCACTTGATGTTGTTGCTCATTTCCAGCAAATTTTAACTCAGTTAGACCTCCAGAGATCTACCATTAAAAAATTTTATTCTACTCAGGAGATTAGCAATAATTCCAAACTCAATCTGACTTCTTCTCTCATTGAAGCTGAAATTTGGCAAGCCCTTCAAGGTATTGATAGTTCTAAAACTGCTGGGCCTGATGGTTTTACTAGTGATTTCTACAAAAAATCTTGGGAAATCATTAAAAATGATGTGATTACTGATGTTCAAAGTTTTTTTCAAGGTTCATCCATCCCTCATTATTTCAATGACACCAGTATTGTGCTCATCCCCAAATCTACTGTTCAGAAAACCTGGAATGACTTAAGGCCTATTAGTCTCACTTATGTCATCAGAAAACTCATTAGCAAGATTATTGTAGGCAGAATTTAGTCCCATCTTAATCATATGGTTTGTGAAAACCAGTTTGCTTTTGTCAAA